ATTCCCCCAATTCGTGAGAAATAAAACATATTACGTTTAAACCTTTACGAATTTATGTTTTACAAACATAAGGTCAGTGTTCCGTATTGATTGTTTACTAAGCTAACCTGTCACTGTGACAGGCCCAAGAGACTTTGTCTGTCACTATGTACTATGTGACGAGGTAAATATCTTGTGCGACTTTTTATGTTACGAGGTAAGCATGTGCTATGAAACCAGACGTACGAACTTAAAAAAAAAAAAAATTGGCTTGTTGTGTATAGAACAAGATGCTATGATGGGAAGACGTAGGGGGTCAAAAATTTTCGTATACTCTGGTTAATAATCCTCCATATTCCTAATCTCGTTTCTCTCCAGTGATCCTAATCTCCCACTGCTTGAGGAACCTTAGTTCTCCAGCTAGCCTTAACATAGCGTTAATAAATCTCGCCTTTGGTCAAGTTAATTACTTTAAGGCACTATGCCTCGCAGGTTCCTTAGAATCAGTGATAGATACAATAGAATAAAGGAAAGACGAGTAGAGACCGTTTTTATTTTAACGTTTTTGCGTTCTATTGTTTTAATAAAGCTCTACAAAGAGCGACACCTTTGTCAGAATTAAAACTTGCTCTACATTGGTTCTTTTCTTAAGTCACTGGTAATTGTCCACAGCATGTATGCACTGAGAGGTGTATGTCTCAGTACATACACGCTGAGAGTTTACTTTAATCCCTACTTTACGGATTAAAGCGCCCTTGACCCCTTGCACAGTCGACAGGCTTGAAGCCCAGTTAACCAACTTTGTCCTCTTCTTCGTGTTCAGCGAGCGACTGGCACACACGCAAAAAGCTCCTCACTCCGGCCTTCCACCTCAAGGTCCTGGAGCAGTTCGTGGACGTGTTCAACATCCAGAGCAACAAACTCGTCAGCAAGCTGAAGAAGGAGGCTGACGGTTGTGTCTTCGATATCTTCCCCTACATCACCAATTGTACTCTGGACATCATCTGTGGTAGGTACTCACACCATCACCTATTATCCTTATGCCTTTTCACATAGGTCGGTATATAGGTAAAGAGATATTATCCTACCTCAGAATATTTTAAATCCAAGCAGCAGTATCTAAAATATTGTCAGTCCACAGGATATCACCAACAACAATCGACTAAATACATGAATAGGTGCAACAAGATGTCTCGCTCCGCCTGGCAGTTGAACCTCACCTCTTTTCGTTTGTGAAGCAAATGCTCTTATAAGTAATCCTTAATTATATAGTATTAGTAGTAATGACAGTAGTAATAGCATTTGCAGCAGCAGAAGCGATAGTTGCTGTAGTAGTAGCAGTTGTAGTTGTAGTAGTAATATTTAATTACCAGTAGTATTATTGTCATTATTATTATAATTATTTTTTATTTATTATTATTATTATTATTATTATTATTATTATTATTATTATTATTTTATATTATTATTATTATTATTATTATTTTATCGTTCATAGAAGCGAGTACATTCTTTTCAATCAAAGAGAAATTTCATTACTATTGATATATTATTGGTTCCATAAAGACATTTTTACGTTTGATATAATATTTAGATTTTAATGCCAGCTCCTGTTGATGTGTTGATTGCACGTGAAATGCCTAGAACTATCATATACAGTGGACCCTCGACTAACGCTATTAATCCGTTCCTGAGAGCTCATCGTTAGTCAGAATAATCGTTAGTCAAGTTAATTTTCCCCATAAGAAATAATGGAATTCAAATTAATCCGTGCAAGACACCCAAAAGTATTGAAAAAAAAAGTTTTAACACATGAAATATTAATTTTAATACACACAAACTGAAGAAGACATGCACAGTTACATGACACTTACCTTTATTGAAGATCTGGTGATGATTGATGGGATGGGAAGAGGGGAGTGTGTTGATGTCTTAGTGTTTTTAGAAGGGGAATCCCCTTCCATTAGGACTTGAGGTGGCAAGTCCTTTTTCGGGTTACTTCCTTCTTTTAATGCCACTAGGACCAGCTTGAGAGTCACTGGACCTCTGTCGCACAACAAATCTGCCCATAAGGCCTGTACCTCCCGTTTTCCTTTATGACATTCCTAAAGTGTTTCACAACATTGTCAGTGTCACCATTAAACACTTTTTCAGGTTTCAGTCCTTCACTGTCTATGTACTCCTTGAATTCCTGCACATATTTTTCACTGCTTTTTGGTCCAAACTGGCAGCCTCACCATGCCTTATCACATAGTATGCCACACGATTCTTAAATCTCTCAAACCAACCTTTGCTGGCCTTTAAATTCACTCACATCACCACTAGTTGCTGGCATTTTTCTAATTAAATCGTCATGCAATTTCCTAGCCTTTTCACATATGATCGCTTGAGAGATGCATCTCCTGCTATCTGTTTTTCATTTATCCATACCAATAACAGTCTCTCCAACATCTTCTATCACACTTGCGATCTCAGTTTTCGAAAACATATAGTTGCTCACCTTTGGCAAGAACAGCATCCTTGATTGCCGTTTTCCTTGGCCACAATAGTAGCCGATGGTGATTGGGGTTTTGTGTACAGCCTGGCACAGCTCGGAGACATGCACTCCACTTCATACTTACAATGATCTCTTTCTTCATTACCATAGTAATTCCCTCACCCTTTTCCTTTTGCTGTAGGGTTGGCACTAAAGCTTTCTTGGGGCCCATGGTGACTTATTTGCAGGTGCAATCACTAAAAAAGGCTGTGATAATATGAAATGTTTCCGATTGTATCTTGGAAGCGCCCGCGGTGGCTGGCTGGCTTGAAACACTGCCAGAAGTGGACGCGTCTCAGACGAACGAATAGTGTTTGTCGATTTTTAGCGCTAAATCGAGCAAAATTTTTGCGATAAAAATTGTATCGCTAGTCAGATTTATCGTTAATCGATGCCAACGTGGTCGAGGGTCCACTGTATTATATATAATATATATATATATATATATATATATATATATATATATATATATATATAATATATATATATATAATATTATATATATATATATACAATAATAATAATAAATATTATATATATATATATATATATATATATATAATATATATATAATATATAATATAATATATATATATAAAATCTATATATTGACAGAGACAGCGATGGGGTGTTTCATCAACGGTCCCGGACAACCCTGAGTCAGACTACATTATGGCCATCCACAGGTAAGCCACAATTTTTTAAATGGTTGAATTTTTATGGTTGATGTTCCACCCTACATATAACATTAGTATTAATTTATTAAGTAGTATAAAATAAAGTTAGGTTAGGCAATACATTGTTTTGAGTTAACTTGCAGAATAAAAGGTTAGGTTATTTTAGGTTAGGTAAGGTAAGTCTAGTTAGTTAGGTTAGGTTAGGTTAGGTTAAGTTAGGTTAGGTTAAGTTAGGTTAGGTTAAGTTAGGTTAGGTTAAGTAGGTTACGTCGTGGAAAAATATGGGTGATACTTCTTTTAATAAATCTTTTAGGCGTTGAATAAGTTCCATAGTTTTTCGATGTTGTTATGTCTACTTATGGCACCTTATTGTATGTTATTTTTGTAGCTACCAACTTGTGAATTTTATTTTGTCAATTTAAATCTAGTTATACTCTTGATCTTGTTAACAACCTATATCAGACCCTAGTGCAATTGTTCTTGTTAACAACCTATATCAGACCCTAGTGAAATTGTTCTTGTAATAAAGTTGGTAGAATTACCGACAATATGTAAAGTAAAAGGACACAAGTGCAACTAATGTGACATTTATTGTGGCAACGTTTCGCTCTCCAGGAGCTTTATCAACTCCTGGCTTGATAAAGCCTCCTGAGAAGCGAAACGTTGGCCACAATAAATTCACTATTATGTTGCACTTGTGAAATTGTTCTTGTTAACAACCTATATCAGACCCTAGTGCAATTGTTCTTGTTAACAACCTATATCAGACCCTAGTGCAATTGTTCTTGTTAACAACCTATATCAGACCCTAGTGCAATTGTTCTTGTTAACAACCTATATCAGACCCTATTGCAAATTGTTGCTTGTTAACAACCTATATCAGACCCTAGTGCAATTGTTCTTGTTAACAACCTATATCAGACCCTAGTGCAATTGTTCTTGTTAACAACCTACATCAGACCCTATGTGCAAATTGTTCTTGTTAACACCTATATCATACCCTTAGTGCAATTGTTCTTGTTAACAACCTATATCAACCCTAGTGGCAATTGTTCTGTTAACAACCTATATCAGACCCTAGTGCAATTGTTCTTGTTACAACCTATACCAGGACCCTAGTGCCAATTGTTTCATGTTAACACCTATATCAGACCCTAGTGCAATTGTTCTTGTCACACCTATACCAGACCCTAGTGCAATTGCAAGTACCATTTTAATTTGTATTTTATATTATAGTAAGTTTATAACTTAGTTGTACTTTAATTCATTTTAGTCTCAATACTTAGACAACAACCTGAACTAACTATCCTAGATTGTACTTTAGCTCATTCTAGCCACAACACATAGACAATATCAACTTCACTATGATTATTTGATGATCTATACTCTATATGACCAAAGTGCTTTAGCTATATACTTGTCCAAACCTCCCACACACCTACATAAATCATATTAGAACACACACATAATACAGGATATAAACAAACCACTATTTAAAACCTAAAAGATTTAATGATCACGTTGACCTTGATCAAACCTCCATAATCTAACACACAATCAAAACTTATTGGAAAGTAACTGCCGTTATTACACAAGCATCACAAGCAGCACAATCCTGAACACTGCACAAAGTCTATCAGGTTTTCTTAACTACAACATCAGTCACCTTAAGCAAACACTATATGGATGACCTCCTGGCACTCCTTGAATCACTAGAAGACAACCCTTCTCCTGCATTAATTCTTACTGAGACCTGGCTTAAGGCAAAGACACAATTGATTCTACCCACTACCAGGATACACAGCAATCCACAACTGCAGACCATACCAAGTTGGGGGTGGTACTGCAATCATTACTCAACAAACTATCTTGTATTACCACTAATTGCTTTAGTGATGAATATGGAGGAAATTCATTTTTGCTAATTTTACCTGTAAAAAAACTCAAGACCCTATAACAATCGTGCCATATACCCGGATACCCCACACAAACATCCCAAACTTCAGTGAGAATCTAAGTCACTAATAACAAACAGACAAAGAACAAGCACCAACTTCTCTTAAGCTGAGACATCAATATCAACCTTGGCCTACCCAGATGATCAACTGTAACTGATTTCATGAAGAATATGAACAACACACTTCTTCATACCAAGCAAAAACTAAAACCAACCAGGCTGACAGAGACAAGTGCCCCCAATTAGCCCCCTCTTAAATCAGAGATAATCACAGATAGCACTACTGACCACTACCCCAAACCTTCCTCTTAACAAACATAGTAAGCCACCAACCGAATACAACAAATTCACTTAGACTCCATGACGAGACCTCATACGGATTTCAACAGCAGACCTAGAGACTGTTGACTGGCAAACAGAATTCTCCAATGCCAATGGTATGACGATGGAACAGACATTTTTCTTAACAAAATACTTAGATATACAAATCAAACATTGTCCTATAAAGACGAAACAGATCACAAATAAACGGCTTGGTTGCCCATGGCTAACCAGCAGTCCAGCATTCTGAAAATCCATTGATAAAGAACACCAATATGAAAAGCAAATAGACAGGCTTAATGCACAAAGATATGCTTAAACACTATTCAACAGTTCTCACCAAATTAACAAAGAAAACCAAACAACTGTACTACTCCAGCAATTCCACTGACACAAGAGGAAGATAAAAAAGAAGACCTGGAAAACACTTTCCGCGATTCTGGCACCCACAAACAGAAAAAAAAACAGAATATTGTCTAACTCAACTCATGAAACACCACTGCATCCCACTATACAGCTAACAAGAAACACGCCTTCTTCTCAACATAGGATCTAATCTCGCCAGTAAAATCCCACGTACCAATGCCGTGCCGGGGAACTACCCTAGATTGGGAATTTCCCAAATTCCTTTCTATCTTTACCAACTGAGCCCATGAAGTCACACCACGAACATAAAGTCACTTAAAATAACTCGGGGAATCTGTCCTCATCGTCCCACCATTATTGTACAAGCGAGCGGCCCATGTCCTTTCGCATGCTATTACATTTACTTTTTAAACAAGTCACAAAGAAACTACACTTTCCCGACACTACTCACGACAGCAAGGGTTACACCAATACATAAAGGTGGTGACCCCTACAGACGTAACAACTAAAGCCAATATCAAAACTTACCACTGCTATCCAAAATCTCGAGAAACTCGTGCACAAGGAGACTATATTCATTTATAACGTCACAAAACAACTCAAAACCCCCTGCCATTTGGATTCAGAAAAAATAAAAGCACTAATGATGCAATATATAAAAATGCTAGACCTGCTTTAACAACAGCATTGGAAAAAATGAATATCCGCTATGAATTTTTATTGACCTAAGAAAAGCGTTTTGAGACAAAGTAGACCACGCATCCTACCCACAAACTTGACTTGACACTATGGTATAGAGAGGCCATGCGCTTGCATATTTTAAAATCCTACCTTCTAATAGGTATCAATATTCACCATTATAGACACAGCCTCATCAATACGGGCCACTTTACTGGATTTTCCGCAGGGAAAGTGTCTTGTACCCCTGCTCTTCCTCATTTACATCAATGATCTTCCAAACATCTCCCAACACCTGAAACCCTTCCTCTTTGCTGACGACACGACTTATGTCATCTCCCACCCTTAATTTTGGCCACCCTCAACACCATTGTTAACGAGGAGCTGCTCAAAATATCGACCTGGATGACAGCCAATACACTTACACTTAACAGAACACAGGTAAAACCTACTATATATGTTTGGTAGCAGAGCAGGTGTTGCCAACTTAACATAAGATCGACAACACTCTAATTGCCAACATAATGAGGGCAAATTCCTTGGCCTAATACCTCGACAACAACCTAAATTTTCAGCACCCATATCCAACACATAACAAAAAAAGTAATCCAAAACGGTTGGGATCCTCTCCAAGATACGATACTACTGCTGCAAACTGCCCTTCTCACACTATAATCCATCAATTATATAGCCATACCTCACCTATGCATCTGTGCTTTTGTTTCAACTGAACCAACACACCTAAAGCCGAATAATAACCCAACAAAAAGCCGCAGTAAGAATAATCACCAAATCCCCTCCCTTGGCAACACACCCCCCACTCTTCATAGATCTAAAATGACTCCTGACCCAGAACATCCACACATTACTACTGTGCAATCTAACTACAGGCAACTTAAATTCCAATATTAACCTTGACTTAAAACCTTTCTTGATAGTGTGAACAGATCCACAGGCATTACAACAACACAAACATCCTCACCTGACATTCCCCATGTCCTGAATTAAACCTATTACAAAATTTCAATGTTATTTCAAAGGACCTAAAATCTGGAACACCCCTAGCCCTGAAAACATCTGAACCTGCAGACACATTCATCACTTTGAGAAACTACAGTTAGAAAACATCTTATCTCCCTGATGCCACCCCGACAACTAACTACATTATAACAACCACGCTGGTGGTTCACGGATTACACTCACATCACCCACTGACTATAAACCCAGAAAACAAATCTAATCTTAAAAGAATAAATCATAACTAGTCATAACTTTGCTATGATACCTCCAATATAGACACTTTGTATTGTGCCAAAACAAAAGCATTCACATTGCTAAACTCACAAATTATGATGTAGTAACTTAATCCGTAAACCATAATCTGTAAGGAATTAAGTTTTAAGATTAATCTAAGAGTCCTGCCCTAAATGCCTAGCCATGCTAGTGTCCCTATGAGCCCCCTCTGGTCATTAGATTTTATAACATGAAAACCACAACAATATCCCAAATCCTGTAAACCCCATTATGTAACCCTTATAGAGAATAAACTTGAACTGAATTGAATTCAATTGAATTTATTGTTTTGGTAGAGTCCAGCAACCAATTTTCAGCTTTCTCGGGTTGACAGTCATTTTAACGTTTTATTTTGTGCGGGGAGTCAACACCTTATACCGTAAATTAAGAATCGTCCTTTGGGATCATGACCATCATTTTTTTCAGGATTCAACGCCTTAATCAGCAACGCATGATCATCCTCTTGACGCAGCCAGTCTCATTTTATGTCTTTTTTTCTGAAGGATTCAGTAAGTAAGTAAGTAAGTAAGTAAATTTATTCAGGTATACACAAATACAGTTACATAGAATTATCGTACATAGCAGCATATGTGTAGAGAACCTGGGATAACTCAAAAAAGTCAGACAGAATGACTTATTTCCATTGGGGTCCTTTTACCTTATTATTATAATATAAAGGTTATAATATTTTCTTATTATTCTACAATGAAGATAACATCTTATTATCATACTAAAAAGACTTATCTACTACACGAGGGTCATTAAGACTATCTACAATACGAGGGTCATTACTAGGATAAGGTAAAATTTACACGTATTTTAGCTAAAAAAATAGAAAAACAATCCCCTCCCTTTCTGTAGCTTCCATCATCCAGAACACTTTTTGGCATCTTCTTGATCTGGTTCATGCTCTGAACTGGCTTTGGCATGGCGGGTATCTGTTTCCCATTCCTTTATTGCTGTACAATAAAAGGTGTTTGACGCCTGGCCACTGACTGTGGGTACTACAAAGTTGTGCTCTCTCCCCCTAGTATACTATGATTGCTTTGGTTCCCAACCTTGACAAAATGACAGCAAGATATTCTGGACACTGTTTCGTGAGCAATTATAACATGATTTAGCTTCAGTTGTTACTTCTGTCTTCAACATTCAGCTTATCCAACTGCCCTTAATTCTCCTGCCTACATGATCTCATGGTCACCAGCCCCAGGATGAATCTTACGATTTGTTCTGTGTGATTTGCAGTCTAACTTTCTTTTTTTGTCAAGGCAGAGTACCATGAAGAGCAAGCGTAATCCCATATTGGCATTGTATACGGGCTAGACATAGGGTCCTCGAGCTCAGGTAGGGTAGACACTGTGCTTGTCTATACAGAACTTCAGTCTGGCATTGCTTTCTTTACCTACACTTTTCCCTATCAATTCTCCTGACATGCATGGGTCCAAAGGGGATCCCAGCTATTTTACTGATGAAACCAAAGTGATGGACTCCCCATACACTGAAACAATAAAATTATTATCCTTCTCAGTTTAATGTATCGTTCCAAAGAGAATGGCTTCAGTTTTCCCTAGGTGTCAATGATAGCTTGTTGTCTACTAACGCATTTTGCTGCAGGACTCCAGTTCCAGTGAGTTAAAACATTACAATATCTTGTGGGTCTTTACCTGTCACTAAACAAGCACTGTCATCTGTAAAAAAACATACAGCTAGAGTTTGCACTTGACACTGATAGGCATATCAATGACATAACATAAGAATAGTACGGGACCCAGAATACTACCTTGGGGAACTCCACATGTTTTATCACGGCAGGGTTCTGATTCCGTTTTGTGTTTTGACTATTTTTGTCTCCTGTTGCAAAGGTAGGACTTAAACCAATCTACAGAACCTATACCGATAGCTGAAGTTTCTTACATAATATATTGTGGTTGACAGTATCGAAGGCCTTGTTTGGCAGGTCTAAGTTACCATAGGTACCTTATGAGTTCCCTTTTGACATTTCTGTTCTCAGGTAATCCTTCAGATTAATAAGGGGAAGGTATCGTTGAGTAGGTCTTCTAAAGCCCGATTGATAGCTATGGAGAATGCTGTTGTCATTAATGTCTTACTACTTAGAAATACACCGCCGCTCTCCAGAATTTTAGATTATTATACTGAGTAACTAAACAGGTCTATAGTTGCTTTCATCAACCTATTATTTTTCTGAAGATAGGATTAACTCGGCCTCCTTGACCCCTCCGGTATGTATTAGTGGTGATTGATTGATTAATAAGTGAGCTATAGGGCATAGACATTCAGAAGCACCATCTTTTAGGAACTTAGACGGATGTATCAGGGCCTGTGCTCTTAGTTGGGTTTAACCTGCTTAGTTCTATTTGAAATGAAGTCATGAATACACTTACTAGTTGACAACCTGTTTTGGGTTACCCTTTTATTGGTATAGAAAGTTTGAAACTTAATCAGAGTCTTGTTAAAGGTATTGTATGCAGCTGGTAGTTTACTTAATAGTGATGATTGCAACGATGTGTAGTAGGAATTAAGCAATTTGCCACCTTAATGTTTCGTCTGGCCATACCTCATTATCGATATTGAGTACTATGTTAGACCTATCTACTGCTATGGCTTACAAACCCCAACTGGTTTAGGTTGTTGCCAGAGCATTTCTGGGGTTATGCATATACTCCTTCAATTTTTGTGCAATAGTGCTTTGCCTTTGCTCCTTTTATAAGCCTCTGTACTCTGTAATAAAGTTGGTAGAATTACCGACAATATGTAAAGTAAAAGGACACAAGTGCAACTAATGGACATTTATTTGTGGCAACGTTTCGCTCCTCCAGGAGCTTTATCAAAGCCATTACAAACAATACATGGACACAGAGGGTATATAAAGGCTCAGAGTGAGGTGAATACTAGTGAGGTACCATTTCGATGTTTCACTAGTGGTGGTAGTAGTAGTAGTAGTAGTGGTAGTGGCAAAGCAATTAATTCGTGTACATGAGTAAAGGATATAAAGCTATTACTTTGGGTAACATAAAAATAGGTTGGACACAATATAAACTGGAATGACCAGGTTTATTTCAGTGTTCACTCTCTGTGCTTTGTGTAGTATAACAGGAGAGACTATAGTGATGGCAGGGTTTACTGTTTCAGGAGGAATCTTGCCTAAAATTCGGAGATGGTGAAGCTGCCGTTTGTTTTGTTTTAATGTATTCGAAAACAGCGATACCAGTGCTGATTCAAGGCACTTGCGTGTGCGGAAATTAGTTTCTTTTATCACTAATTGGGCGTCTCTGAATTTCATAAGATGATTGGTGGAATTTTCGGACAACTTAAACAACGCCTGTGTACAACATCACGAATTCTCCACAAACATCTTATGGAAATTCAGAGACGCCCAATTAGTGATAAAAGAAACTAATTTCCGCACACGCCAAGTGCCTTGAATCCACTGGATCGCATGTTCGAATACAATTAAAACAAACAACGGCAGCTTCACCACTCCGAAATCTTAGCAAGAATCCTCCTGAAAACAGTAAAACCCTGCCATCACATAGTCTCTCCTGTTATACTACACAAAGCACAGAGATGAACACTGAAACAACCTGTCATTCCAGTTTTATATTTGTCCAACCTATTTTTATTTATCCCAAGTAATTAGCTTTTATATCCTTTTAACTCCATGTACGAATAATTGCTTTTGCACTACCACTACTACTACTACTACTACCACTAGAGAACATCGAAATGGTACCATCACAGTATTCACCTCACGCTGAGCCTTATATACCCCTGTGTCCATGTAATTTTTGTAAATGGCTTGGATAAAGCTCCTGGAGAGCGAAACCGTTGCCCACAATAAATGTCACATCTAGTTGCACTTGTGTCCTTTTACTTTACTCCTCTGTACTACTCTGTTCCTCACCCTGTTGGATTCATTTAGTGCTGCAATATCCTGTCTGTTTGCTTTAATCATTTTAGCAGCTGTTCTCTTCTGAATTTCAATATTTTTCTAATATCTCAGTAGTCATCCAGGGTTCAGTTCTTCGTTTAATCCTATCCTCTTTTAACTGGTGCAATATTATATTAAGAATGGAGTGAACATTGTTTTGAATTTTCCCAGCATCGTTTACGTCCGTGGCAACTTGTTATCTCTGTCCAGTCACAATTGTTACCTATTACCAGTGTTTCTTTACTGAGTTTCTAGTTGACCTCATTTTTTATTGTTCCCTGTGAGGCCTATCCTATCCCTAGTGATTTTCCTGGTGCAGTAAATGAGAATGAAATGATCACTAAGACCTGTGGTAATGACGCCTGACTGACTAATGTTCTCAGCGCGGTTGCAGTAAGTTGGTCAATTAGGGTGGATGAGAACTTGTGTGATCCGGGTTGGTTTATTAATTAGTTGGGTGTAGCATTTAATCCTATAACTTTTCTTATACCAATTGCGATAGCCCGTTATTTTGTTGCTGAAAACAGATTATTGAAGTCGCCCAGTATTAAATGTTTCGCAATTGCTTTCAACTCTCCGGCAAGACTCTGGAAAAGTCTTCTAAGAACTGGTCCCTGGGTAGGAGGGGCTGTAATAGTTCCCTACTAAGATGGGGGTTTGGTCTTTGGGAACAGCACTTCAAACATAGAATCTCCAGTTTATTGTTATTAAATCAGGTCTTTGGGTTATAACTTAAGTCATTTCTAGTGTAGGCACATACTCCACCACCGTTTCTGTTCCTATCTAAGCGTTTATATTGTAACCTTCTGTTTTGGACCTCATCGGCAGTCACCGTATCATCCAACCAAGATTCATAGATGGTTATAACGCCGCCCTAATTTGGTTAGCTACTTTAGAAGAAATGATCTGCATTGACAATGAATAAAGTGAAGGCTGTTTTTCATAAAACAATCATAATCATCATATATGGCAGTGGGTCATTTGGATTAAAATTAGGTAAAACATGTCATCACTGTTATTTTTTTATATCTAAAGGGTAACTGTGCCAAAGTGCATTTGTTACACAACAAAAATGAAATTCTGGCAAAACCCGTTGCAATATTGATAAATACATCCATCATGCACCCACCCCTTACCACATTTTACAAAAGGTGCCTTTTCTGTTTTTTTCATGTGTATTTAGTACAGTGATGCACTGTTTGGTAGTGTTTAGATAATAATGGCTGATTGTCCTCACATTGACCTATGTATGCAGTTACATATGAGTTAAGGTTATCAATCCCTAGCTACCTAGGCCATCATTATCGCCGTCATTTCATCTGTCTGTTTTGCTCAGCACAATAGTTTGAGGTGCTGGATTAATTTGGATATCACCACTAAAGAGCGCTACAATAAGAGCTATGTGCCACTGTTTTTGTTTTGGGTATGCGGTGTTTGCCATACCATGCGGCGATATGAGGTTTACTTTTCTGGATAGGATGGCAACTGTTGACTTTTACTGTCCAGGGCGCTGTTACTCCATTCACCTTTTCCAACCCCTAGTACACTTAGTATCTGCTTTAGCAATCACACTGAATTACTATAAAATTTTCCTTCCTCTTCAAAACCCTCTTCACTGCTCACTTTTCCCTTAACTTCACAAAACCCTTACAGTTAACCCCCCTTATTAACACACTCCCCCCTACCACCGTCACTTCACAGTCTGGTTTCACCAATTAACTTCTAACCTCTTTTCCATTCTGGTAGACCAAAAGTTTAATCAATTGTTTATCCTCCAAATCCCCCTCATTCCATTTATCGGCGGTTGTGTGCTGTTGTGTGTCTCCTGACCGGTCGCTGACTTCAGCCATTTTTTAAAACACTGAGGGGAATAACGCCACCTGGACTTTCCTTGAGTTATAGATATATTTGCTTTTTTCTTCTGCTATGATTCTCTCACTGTACACTGGTCAGGCTGAATATAGTCAGCTACTAAAACCATTAACCTTGACTATTTAACTAATTCACTTCTTTCCCACGACTGGCACTGAGGGATACCGTCCTATACCTGTTGGAGTTTTGTACTGTTGATTTGACGATTGTCTCCTGTGTTTTCACTCTCCGTTAGCACTGGTACAGGTGATATGTGGTGGTACAGATAAATGCTACGTCAACATATGAACGTCAGTAAAGATGAGAATTTCACTTCGCTAGTTGTACGTCTGGCAGTAGCGGGCTGTTGATGCCGGGTCAGCCATGTTTAAAATGCTCAATTCTTCTCCTCGTTGGCACTGAGAAAAAAGTCCTACAGACCTGGTCATTTCCTTGAGATTTAGTTGATCAGGTTTCTGCCATGATCGTCCCTTCCCGTTAAACACTGGTGCAGTTGATAGGAGGTCAGTTTATTTCATTTTAGTGAAAACTCTTCGTGTCTGTATCACGTCTGGCAGCAGGTCTGGTATTTAATGCCGGTCCCTCTCTGTCAATTTATCTACCATTTCGTTGTCCGTCACCTCAGTATTTATTCAATTATAGAACACATGGATCACTAAGAACACATGATCGTCCTGTGAATGCAGACAGACTAACTGTATTTATTTATTTATTTTTTGCAGGATTCAGCCATCTAATACAGCAACGCATGAGTCGTCCTGTGGATGCAGCCAGACTTTATATTCCGACTACTTGGTACGCCCGGGAGCAAGAAGAGCTGTTTGAAGACAACTTGTCATTCCTTCACCCGGACACGTCAGGCGAGACGAAAGCTGTACAGGCAACAAAAGCAGCAAGCGTGCAAGGGAGTGACGACGAGCACAACATCTGGTATCTAATGACATGTTGATTAGTAAGAAATAAAACAGCTGAAGAATCTGAATCCAAATGTACTCCTCGTAACCGTTTTTTTGTTTTTAATGGGGGAAGGGGCTAGATCTTAGCCTTATTTTGTTGCGTACCCATTTGTTCACAGGATGGATAACGGTGGGTGCACAATAAACTTCCGCTTCCAGCGAGGAAATCTAATCTAAATCTACGTCACTTTGATATTGAGTTTAGATATTCCTCTCTTGGCTGCCCGTTAGAGAGAACTCAAAGTAAGAAGTCAACCCAGCTGCTTGTGTTGACTAGTGTATTATTTCGTGATCTAGTGCGCCTGGCATTTGAATATATTGCTTGTAGTTTAAATTAATTGCAATGATTGTATATTTTGCTCGTCATTTTATAGTAGATAATACAAAAAGTATTATCATGTATGAGCAAAAAAATATGAGTAGGAGGAAGAGAGAGGAGAGAGAGAGAGAGTAAACCAAAGTGTGGCTGATAGTATTTTTCACTTCAGTTAAGAAACAACGGTTGCTTTCTGGATCTGCTAGCTGTAGTACCTGAAGGAGGTACAGTTCTCACCGACGAGGACATTCGTAGAGAGGTGGACCTCTTCGTGTTCGCCGGCCACGACACCACCACCGTAGTAGTAACTGGTTGCCTCACATCCTGGTCGTCACCACTAGAATACCAAGGTGAATACTGAAGGTAGACCTTCTTAGTCGTGGAATACTCCAAAACTCTGAGTGTGTCATCTCCAAATTTAACCAGAATTAGTTTTCTGCCATGATAAATCCTTCTCCTGCCGTCCCCTGTGCAAGCTCCTCTTGGAGCAAACACACAGGGACTTTCTTTGTGATTATTCAATTTTAAATAATTTAAAGAGCAGCCTGAACCTTTCTTACATATTCAGAAATCAGTCCAAAAACTGTACCCATACACAATATACTTTATCAATACGACCAAGGACATCGTTCCTCGCAGACTTAACCTCAGCAATCATTGATTTTTTTTAATCCTCTCTATAATTTGTCTCTCCCTCCAGGCTCGAGTTCATGCAGAACTGGATAGCATCTTCGAAGGAACAGGACCGTAACCAGCCACCATGGATGACATCCGTCAGATAAATACAACTGAGAAACTGCATCAAGGAGCTCTCAGACTCTCCCGTCTGTTCCTTACTCGTCAGACAACCAGTGAAGATATAAACGATTGGTAAGAGATGATTGCCTGTATACCTCAAAGTCTTCACCTATATATTTTGCAAATTAAATACTCTCACTCTCCTCTCTCCGTCTCTCTCTCTTCTTCTCCTCTCTCTCACTTCTCCTCTCTCTCCATCTCTCTCTCTCTCTCTCACTCCTCTACCTCTCTCCTCTCCATCTCTCTCATACTCTCCTCTCGCTCTCTCTCTCCTCACTCTTTCTCTCTCCCAGGGAGAAAAGAGTATAATTGATGCAAATTGACATGATAAAAGTGCTGTTCCAAGTGATCTGATGAAGCCTTAATAAGATTAATCAAGTGGCTTAAACATCTTTTATTGGTTGAAAACACAAACATCCTCATCCAGGAGGCATGAAGATTAGTTGCTTCTGTTTGTACTTAGTTGAAATGATTTGGCCACTAGAGATTTAGAAGGCAAAGGTTGATATAGGAAGCCTCTCGTAGCTCGTACCAGTTCCGGACTCGTACAGGAACAAGATAGTAATGTATATTGATCTTTCTTCTTCATCATCCATCAGGGAAGTATCGCATCCCCGCCGGTGCCTCAGTCATGGTGTTCACCTATGCCCTACACCGTGACCCTGAGCAGTTCCCTGACCCTGAGGTTTTTGACCCTGACCGCTTTCTGCCGGAGAACGCCAGCAAGCGACACCCCTTTGCCTACAACGCCTTCAGCGCCGGACCCAGGAACTGCATCGGTTTGTGGGACTTGATTTCATGTGACATTATATTACAGCAAAATTATTTTTCGTTGTTTATTGCATCTTTCATTAGCTGCGAAGGTGATCTTTGGTGAAGGAGTCACTAAAGAAGGCTCATACTGACTCGGATAACAGCACGTAAGGAGAATTCGTTGATGGAAGGAGAGACACACATGCGGTGCAATGAGATCTTTTAACTGACAAGGTGTCACCTACGCAGTTGGGCTTTCTCAAGTAACAGAGCGAAATGACGTGACCAAAGGATCTCATTGCACTGCATTTGTGTCTGTTGCAGTCGAATTGGTATTTTATAACATCTTTCTCTAAAACTGAGTTATAATTATGGGAATCACCACAATGACAACCTCTACCTGAGTAAGTGGACTTATCGGCCGCTTAGGGGCCCTGATTACTGAGGGGCTACGACTACTGAGGGGCCCTTACTAATAAGGGGCCTCTGGTCGTTAAATATTCTAACACTAGGCTTGCATAAGTTAACAGCATAGAGCTTAAAACCGAATTTACCTTCGATGTCCTCCTAGGCACAGGTGTACAGGAAATTATTTCACAGGCCGCGTAAGACTCCTGTAGTTTGGTGTTTCTCTTATTGAACATACAAAACAGTACAGGAACCTCAGTAACAAGGACAACATCTCGTATTGTTGTTCATGCCATTTATCTGCGAAACTAATTTTCAAAGCTACCTTATGAGTTAGCTCCAGGTTGTTTCACTCATCTACAAATCTATTGCTAAACAATTACATTTCCTATAGCACTATTCGAAACAATAGTTTCCGAGCTAACGCTTTCTTGGTTAGAAATTTGTAATTACCCTGTTTATGATTTAAGTTTATGTCTCCATTAATGTACTTCATTCATACTTCCTTCATTCAATGTCCTTCATGTTTAGGTCTCTCATCCATCTTCTTAATGAAAATTTTCTTATTCAGTAAATTTTGTCATCCACTGCATGTTTTTCAGTGCCACTTATATCCATTCTGTGGTGACAAGAACTAAGCCGCGAATCTTAGTAAGATCTATACTAATAATGGACATAGCTGTAGAATAACGACCTGATTAGAGTTATTACTCCATGCTCCATGATACCATTAGATAGGCTTATACACCCATGTTAGGCACTGTTGTCTTGATTTGTAGGTTTCTGTTTTCCAAATTTTGGGTTTAAAAAAAATTTTTTTTTTTTTATTTTAAAGCCTTCCTCTCGCACGTGCAGTTCTGTATGATCAAACACGCTGTGGAACCCGGTTATGAGTGAGTCAGCTAGGCCTGTATACCTGTTCTTGTACTTGTAAGAAATAAATATTATTATTACTATCTATAATATTATTATATTATTATTATTATTATTATTATTATTATTATTATTATTATTTATTATTATTATTATTTAACTAACTGTCAGATGAAATTAAGACACATGTGCAACATCTGGGTATCTTTATTGTAGACGTTTCGCCATCCAGTGGCTTTATTAATACAAATTCCAGGACATAATTGAGACAGTAGAACATGACTACGGTGTTCTTTGCACCAACTCCAAGGCTGAGGGTCTGGTTACCTCATCTTCTGTATATAGTTCTACTGTCTTCAAATTATGTCCTGGAATTTGTATTGATAAAGCCACTGGATGGCGAAACGTCTACAACAGATACCCAGATGTTGCACACGTGTCTTAATTTCATATTGTCGGTATTGTGTACCATTCTGGTATAACTGTAAGATGTCTGAGCTTCAGTGCTGATGTTTACAACCTTTCGTGTCTTCCAGGTCAGAAGTTCGGCATGATAGAAGAGAAGGTGATGGTAAGCAGTGTGCTGCGCAAGTTCCGAATTGAGAGTATCACTCCAATGAAGAAACTTAAACTCCTTAGCGAGATTGTCCTCAGACCCAAGGATGGCAACCACGTCCGGCTCTTTCCCAGGACAGCAGAGAGCCCGACCTCAGCCAGGGGCAGCAACAGCGTGCAAGACAACAACACCAGGTGTCAGGGTGAAGGTAGTTGATAAAGACAATCCTATGATGGCTTCATAACCGGGCGCAACACTCAAGCTGACACGTACCGTCGTCTGTTTCACTGAAGCTTTATGCAAAGATACATACACATTCTGCAATGTTATTTTACATATTTTAGAAGCAGATTACCTATTTAAAAATAACTCTGTATAAATATCACTCTTTAGCAATGATGACATTGATTTACCTAATTTTAATACAAATGACTCATGCCATATTGATGATTATAATTGTTTTATGAAAACAGGCCTGACGACGAGGTCAAAATAGAAGGTTACAATATAAAACGCTTAGATAGGAACAGAAAAGGTGATAGGGTATGTGTCTACATAAGAAATGACTTAGCTTACAACCCAAGACCTGAATTAAATAACAATAAACTGGAGATTCTATGGTTTGAAGTGCTGCTTCCTAAGACCAAACCTATCTAAGTAGGAACTAGTTACCGCCCTCCTACCCAGGACCAGTTCTTAGAAAACTTTTCCAGAGTCTTGTCCGGACTTGAAAATAATTGCGAGACAAAAAAACTGGGGCACTTCAATA